GCCAAGGATGAAGGGCGGTGAAAAGGTCAGCGAGGAGTGAGGAGGGTTCTCATGAAAGCCGCTCAAAAGGGCACACCGTACCACATTTAATTAGGCCAGTAAAATATTGTGACAGTGAAGGCGTGATCGGAGTATATACGAAATGCGAATAGGGCAGAGCAGAATGGGAGATACCGTAACTGTTTAGCACACGTTTGGTCAAAGGATCGGCTTCACTTGTCTCTTTGACGAGTTGTAATATGGTGCGTACTGAATGGTAAACTCACTTCAAAGGATCAGCTTCACTTGTCTCCGACGAGTTGTAAGATAGTGCTACGAATGGTAAAACTCACTGACGATGCCGGCGAAACGTCTGGGAATGTGAACGGGAGATATCATAACTGTTTAGCACACATTTGGTCAATGGATCGGCTTCACTTGTCTCTTTGACGGTTGTAAGATAGTGCTACGAATGGTAAAACTCACTGATGGATCGGCTTCACTTGTCTCTTTGACGAGTTGTAAGATAGTGCTACGAATGGTAAAACTCACTGACGATGCCGGCGAAACGTCCTGGGAATGTACCAATCCATGTTTCGACTGGAAATAATTATGCATACAATGGACTCAGGACAAGGTGCGTTCCTATAAATCTTCCTACGAATATGACCAAATTGGGAAAACAAGGTCAAACAACTTATATACAACGAAAGGAGACTGCGACCACACAAAACGCCACACCATCTTAGTCATCATATCTTCAATCATGAATAAACCTTACAGTTCCAATGAATTTCACGTAGCCTTATTTGCCTAAGTTACTCTCATCCAGGGTGAACTACAATTTCGACTTAACATTGACCCTATAAACACCCCCAGCGGAACAGTGCATTGTATAATTTCGACATGCTAACCATTAAGCCACATTGCTACACTTCTCTAAGTCTTAATTATGAACGAAACATAAGTAATGTAGTGGATTGGTCTAGCAAATATGCATATTTCATCGACAATCCCACCACAGAATGTCATATTGGAAAATGCCCTGCTTTCCTTGAAATTCAAATCTGCCCTGTGACCCAAGGGCAATCGTGGCAATGTGTCTAAGTGATAAGCGTGTCGAGATTATACGCTGCACAGTTATTGTTCGAGTCCCACT